CCTTTACACACCTTCTCTCTTAGGATTGATCTACTTAGGGTGTGTTTCTACCCTAGATCCTTCATTAAAAAGATAGAGTGAGTCGAGGGCTTCCATTTAATCTGAATAGTTGGCGATTTGGAGCACTTTGGTATTTGGATATCATCTCTGTCTTCTCCATTTGGGTTGTTGTCTTCGAGGTAGGGATTTCCTACTCCATCTTATAAGTTTTGTTCTAAGTTTTAGTATTTTGATATGTTGGGGGCACTTTGGTAATTTTGGGGAAAACCCTAGTTGTGTTAATTAATTAATTTGTATAATTAATTTAAGGGAATTGGGGAATTTATTGATTAATGGTGTAGTTGGATAATTTAAATCACTCGCCTATTGAATTGTTGATATATTTATTTCCAAGTTACTCGTGGGCCGTTTTGGGCTATCGGTGGAGGATAGTCGTGATTGTTGTAGACATTGCATGTGGATTAGGGAAAACTGAAACTAATCGCATTGGTTAAGTCATTGATTTAGACTGTTGAATTAATACAGAAAATACATGTATTGATTGTGTGTTGTATATGACGAGTGTTTAATACATTGTATATGCATTTTTGTTTGGGAGGAGATAGGGGATGGACTCCATTAGCATCACTTTTATGTGTGCTTATCTATATTGAAGTGTTTTAATGATACAGCACTAAAATGTGTATCAAACTGGAAGTATGAAGTGTTTTGATTTGAGCTTGAGTCTCATTTATTTGTTGATATTGGAGGAATGTGAATATGATATATATATAATTCACTGTTGTAAGTTTGGCCAGGTTCTGAGCCATGATGATAAAGTTGGAAAGTAAAACGTGTCTTAGACAATAGTGTCATGAGACTGTAAAATGGAGTAATTGATTATCTTGGTTAACCATCTGTTGAATGCTATTGCTTTATTCATTGCTTATATGTGGTTTAGTATTTTTCTACTGGGCTGTGGCTCACCCTATATGGGAACATCATTTTCAGGTTCAGGTGATAAGCTACCTCCAAGGACTTAGCTTGGGAGGGTTCGGTTTCTGGATTTTGAAGAAGACTATCTTAGTTAATTGTCTTTATTAATTAGTACATGTAAGCATTCAAGCCTAGGGCTTTTCTTGTATTGAGTTAGAACTCATATTTTGTATCCAAGTGTTGGCTTGGAAGGATGTAAGCCTGTAGGGCATTTTATTCGATGTTACATGTGATGCTTCTAATTAGTAATACTCTGATGAATGATTTAATAAATTGTTTACTATAAATAATGCATGTCAATGATGTATATATAATGGGTTTATTTTTGAGGGCGTGACAATTACACTTCACTTTTTCATCTCTATTATTTTCAAACCCTAAATCCGGCTGCTTCTTCTCTCTCTACATACCTTCTCTCTAAGGTTTGATCTAGTTCTTGAGTGTTTCTACCCTAATCCCTTTGTAAGAAAGAAAGAGGGTGGTGTGGGCTTCACTTTAATCTGAAAAATCTTGGATTTGGAGCACTTTGGGTTTTTACCATCTTCTCCATTTGGTCTCTTCATTTCGAGGTAGGGATACCCTACTCCATCTTATGGGTTTTGACATGAATTTTAGTCATTTTGATTAGTTGGTGTTGTTGGGTAATTTTGGGAAAAGTTAGGGTTTGATTCGTAAATTATAAAAGGGGGAGTTTTCAAAATATTAAATCCCATGTGTATATGAGACCTTGAGAAAAATGGAATTATTGTTATTATATTGAAGAAATTGAACTTTAGGGTTGATATTGAGAATTAGGAAAAAATGCCCTAATTATGTGATAAATTAATTTGAATAATTAATTTGTGGGAATATGAAATTAAGTTGGGAATTTTGAAATTAGAGAATTATAAAGTTGAATGGTGGAGTTGGATAATTTAATCACTCATCCATGAGAATGTTAATATGCTATCGGTTTAGTGCATTTATTTTTTGTTTAGAAATAACTGCTTTAGGCTATCGGTGGAGGATAGTCTTGACTGTTGTAGACACTGTATGTTGATTAGGAAAAACTGAAACTAATCACATTGAATATGTCATTGAATATGACGGTTTGAATAATACATCAAATATGTGTATTGATTGATCCTTGTATATGATGAGTGTTTATATACTTGGAATATGTGTGTTGTGTGGGAGGAGATAGGGGATGTACTCCACGGTTTGGGAGGAGATAGGGGATGGACTCCAGTGATACAGCAAATCTGTGTATCATTTGTGAAGTATTGAAGTGTTTTAATATGAGTTATAATCTCATGTGAATTGTGAAGTATGGAAGTATTTTAATATGAGTTATAATCTCATGTGAATTGTGAAGTATGGAAGTGTTTTAATATGAGTTATAGTCTCATTAAATTGTTTGGCCAGGTTCTGAGCCATGATTATGAATTGAAATGGTATAAGTAAAGGAAAGTGGAATGAAACATGGGTTATTTGTCATGGAACTGAATTGGGTTATAAATTGGTTTATAAGTGTTAGCCATCTATCAAATGCTAAATGTTTTAGTTATTTCTCATTCTTGGTTTAGTATATCTCTACTAGGCTGTGGCTCACCCTATATGGGACATCATTTTCAAGTTCAGGTGATATGCCACCTCCAAGGACATAGCTTGAGAGGTTCTGGGAGTTGAAGACTCTTTTTGTGTTGTTTTGTTATTTTGGTGTTACATGTAAATTCAAGTCACGGGCTTATTATGTATTTGAGTTAGTACTCTCTTCTTTTGTAACCAAGTGTTGGCTTGGAAAGTTATAAGTCCATAGGGCATTTACTTTTGTTGTCAACATGTAATACTTTTGTAATGAATACTCTGATGAATGGGAATATGCTTTATTTTCTTATGTTTTTGCATGTCAAGGATGTGGATTTAATTGTATTTTTTTGAGGGCGTTACAATTTATCTAGTAAATCAACAATGTAAAAAATCATAATTAATCATATATTTATAACCACATAGTAATAAGATCAAATTTATTTATTTATTTTTAAATATATGATTTTGATAATATACTATCTATTTTTAGAAAACAACTATGGATCATGTGATTTTGAATGCCTGATTAATTTGATTTTTTTTTTTTTTTTTTTTTTTTTTTTTTTTTTTTGTATGAGTCCTTCCCTATTCCAACTATTGAAACTTGGGGAAATTACAACACAATGAGATAGAGAAAAAAAAAATATAAAAATATGGGGTGCAAGTGAAAAGGTATGAAGGTGCAAACATGTTTGTGTAAAATTTTATTTTTTATCTCACTGGATAGTAATCCCTTGAAAGTTTTCAATTTTATGTAGTTTTCGTAGAATGAATATTCTAAATACATTTGGTACGACCCTATGGCCAGTAGAGCTAATGTATCTTCCATCTTTCCTAAATTTCTGCCCGTGGGTCATTAATCTTTTTAGATGATAACAAATCACACAGATGATATGAAAACTAACATTGAAATAATTTAATTTGTATAAAAATATATAGCAATGTGGACTGATTAATATTACCTCTACCATCTCTTCGTAGTAATGATTTCTTTTGAAGTAGATCCCAACTTTCCTTATCATTTAAACACTGGGGTTCATGTAAGATATGGTATGGATCTATCTGTGAAGGCATTGCTTTATTACGAGTCGTTAGCAAAATTTTGCTACCCGTGTTTCCATTTGGAAAGGTCGGTTTCAAGCTCTTCCAAGCATCTATTGACCAAATATCATCTAGTACAACTAAGCATTTTTTACTCTGTTGGACTTCATAGAGTTGCTCAAACAACTCTTCATTTCTCATCCTCACAACCTCTTCCTTCCTCTCTGGAACAAGTTTGTTGAAGATTCCTTGTAGAATATCTCTTGTTTGGTACTGCTGAGATATGCATACCCATGCCAAACGATGAAAATGATCCTTGACATCTTTGTGATGATATACTCTTCTAGCTAGAGTGGTCTTTCCCAAACCACCCAGGCCACAAATAGGGACAACTCGACTAGGAGTATAGTCATCAACTTGCACCAAATGTTTCACAACCTTGTTCAAGTCTTCCTGAAACCCAACAAAATCCTCTTCAGCAACATGCTAATACGATTGCCTCAATTCTTGATGCTTCTCAACTGCCGAACTTCTTATGCCTTCACCTACAGCAATATTAGTTTAGTCTTTCTAACTGTCGATTTTCAATAATAATATTGTACAAATAGAATTTTCATACAAAAAACTCACATATTTTTTTTTTGCTTTTGTGATTCTTTCATTTTAAAGAGGAAAAAAACACTCATTTTATGGTCCAAAAATAACAGTGTCACATAATTTGTATGAATTTTGTATATAAAAATTCTATTTTATGAATCATTTTTCGCCATATAACAATACATCCTTTATAAAATATATATTAAAAAAAGTGGAGGTCAAAATTGTTAAATATTATTTTTATATGTTTCTATAAATTTATAGGATTTTTTTGTTTATGATTTCTTATAATATTTTTTTAGAAGAATAAGGACAACACAATTTTTTTTATAGTAATATAGGTCCTCCAAATATATGGTAACAAAAATACTCTCACTATACCGTTTCAGGTATTGCTTATTACTTTTTTAACTCATTTAAAAATTTCAAAATTATATAACTTTTGATCTAATTTTTTTTATTTATAAAATTTGTATTTTTGGAATTGTTTTCATTAAGATCTGTAAAATAATATCCATGATGAATATAAAGTTTCAAAAAAAAAAAAAAAGTTGATAAAATTTTATTAACCTGAGACAGTTCAATAAAATTTCGATTAGTTAGTGAAATTTCGATAGCCAAATCAGACTAAGTCAATGAAATTTCTAAAAATATGAATTTTACAAAATATGGAGATATAAATCAAAAGTTATTACATTTTAAAATTTTGAAATCACTTCAACAATGTAAAAGGTCACACGAGAGAGAAACGATGTTATGAGAAAAATTAGGGCTTCATTTGGTTTAATTTTAGAATCATGATTTGAGTGTGGAGTTGTGTTTTGAAAGATAAGTTTTTGAAATGAGTTTTGAAAAGAGAAAATTTGTTTGATTATGAGTTTTGAAAAGAGTTTTAATTTTAAGTTGTACTTTGAAATTGTTTTGAGTTTATTTTTTAAAATATTTGAAAATTTACTTCATTTTATTTTTTTCACAGTAAATTTTTTATTGTAAATATTTATTTATTTTTTTAATGTGTGTTGTATTTACTATATTTGTGTGCTATATTTTTTAAAAAATATTTTAACAGAGGTGTCAGAGAATCAATTTGGATTTATGCTTGGTTGGTCAACAATGAAAGAAATCTATCTTTTCAGGAGAGTAATAGAAAAATATAGAGAAAAGAAAAGAGATATTCATATAATTTTTATTGATCTTGAGAAAACATATAATAGAGTGCCTCAGGATATAATTTGGTAAATGTTAGAGAAGAAATGGGTGACGAAAGAAGACATTGATGTGATTAGGGACATGTATGAAGGTGTGGTGACCACTATTAGATCACCTACTGGAAAGACAAGTGAATTTTTAATTATTATGGAGTTACACCAATGATCAACCTTAAGTCATTATATTTTTACTTTAGTTATGGATGAGTTGACGAGAAATATTCAGGATGACACGTCATGGTGTATGCTTTTTGCAGATGATATCTTGTTACTGGATGAGACTAGAGAACTGAGTTAACACTAAATTGGAGGCTTGGAGAGAAACACTTGAATTTAAAGAATTTAGGACAAGTAGAACTAAGATAAAGTACATGGAGTGTAATTTTAGTAACAGTAACAATAGAAGCAAAGAAGAAGTGAAGATTGAGAACCAAAAACTACCTAGAGTGAATATTTTCATTATTTAGGATCGATTATCACAGCAGTTAAGGAGATTGGTGCGGATGTGGTCCATAGAATTAAAGCATGGTGGCCTAAGTAGGAAAGTGCATCTAGGGTACTATGTGATAAACGAGTATCCACTAGAGTAAAAGGAAAGTTCTATAGAACAGTTATTAGTCCAACGATGTTGTATGAGATGAAATGTTGAGTAATTAAGAAACAATATGTAGATAAGATGAGTGTTGTGGAGACGGGGATGCTAAGGTGGATGTGTGACAAAGATTAGAAAAGATAGAATTAGGAATGAATAGATTCGTGAATGGATAGGAATAGTATCGATAGAAGATAAGTTGAGAGAAAATAGATTAAGATGGTTTGGTCATATAGAACAGAGACCAACAGAGACAGTAGTGAATAGATGCGATACAGTGACGGTAGATGGAAGTGTTAGGAGAATGGACAGACCTAAATTGACGTGGGAGAGTAGTAAATAGATATATGGATCTCTTTAATTTGACTAACCAAATGGCCGTTGATAGAGTCGAGTAGAGAAGAAGGATTTATGTAGCCGACACTATTTGATAGGACTTAAGGCTTGATTTGGTTTTTTTTTTAGGGTAAATTACAAACACACCCCCTAAGATTTACTTAAATTACAAATTACTCCCTGTGGTTCTAGAAATTACATTATGCCCCCTAAGGTTTCCAATTTCATAACAAATAGGCCCTTTTATTAATAAATCATCAAGTTAATTAACAGTTTTTCATAATGTTAAAATTTTATTTCAATTAATAATTTAGATAATTTTATTATTGTATAGGTGAACAGTTTGAAATTTCACTTTTTCAATTAATTTTGTTAAATAAAAAATTCTAACAAGGAAGTATTTGTAATTTTCCAAACCACAGTAGGCAATTCATATTTTAAGCAAACCTCAGGAGGTGTATTTGTAATTTATCCTTTTTTAATATTTTAAATATATATTTTTAAATATTTAAAAATTTTAATTTTTAATTTTTTAATTTTAAATATTTTATTTTATTTTTTAAATATTTTTAATTTTTTTAAATACAAAATATTGTTTTTTAAATTAAAAAAAATGGATTGCCCATATATATATATATATATATATATGAAAAGTAGAGAGATAATGTAATGAAAAAAAAGATAAAAAGATAAATTATCTTGTAGTAGCCAAACTTGACCTAAGTCTCAAAATATTAATTCATTTTCAAAAATTAAAGAATAAAATAATATAAACTTATTATTTTGCCCTTCTTTCATATTCAATAACAACACAAAAAAAACAGTTATAACAATTGATATTTTTAAAAGCATATACTATCAAAAAAAAAAAAAAAATATTGTAAAAAAAATATTATTTTGAAAAAAATAAAAAAATAATTTTGAAGAACAAAATTAAAAAAATGTTTATTTATTTTTTTAATAAAAAAATAGAGTTTTGAAAAGAGTTTAGTTATGAGTTTTGAATTGAGTATTTAGTTATAAGTTTTGAAAAAAAATTTGAACTTTTTTTATTAGAATCATGATGGCATTTTGAACTATAATGTCGAAGTTGTCATTACATTACAACATCTAAGTGTTTTAGATATCAAATATTTTGATCTCTAAATGTGAAAATTTTGTTGCAAAAGATATTTAGGGATCAATTTTCATCGTCATGATGATAGTTGGTAAAAGATCGTTCCCAAAAGTCAAAAATAAGGCTTTTAATGACAAAATTTTGAAAATGTCACTAATAAATAGACTTTTAGGTGCAAAATAATTTGGTCTCAAAATTGTTTATTTTTTGAGACAAAAAATTTGTTCCCAAAAAGATAATAATTCATTACTAATACCCAATTTTTGTTGCTAAAAATATAATAAAGACACTTTTCGTAACAAAATTATTTGGTTCCAAAAAAATAATTTTGTCCCTAAATTATGGTCTTTAAAACCAAAATTTTTTTTAGTGTTATTATTTTAAGATTTCAAATCACAAGAATTTTAACTAGCAAGCAAATTGTTATTATCCTTAAATTCTTACACAAACTCGTAGAGTTATGTCTTTTTAATTTCCCCTAAATTTAACTGAAAAAATAAAATATAAAATATTATTCTTTCCTAAAATTGATTATGTCACACGAAAGATTAATGGAATATATTACATAATTTAAATTTCAAATTTTAATTAGTAATAACTTTGCATCTCAAAAGACAGAAAAATATACTTTAAATAAAAAATATATAAAAATAATTGAAATAATAAATAAATAAAAACTTAAGGGCAAATTACACTAACAGTCCCTATAATTTGGGACTCGTGTCACTTTGGTCCCTGACTTTTCAATTGTGATACATTTGACCCTGAATTTTCAATCTTGTTCCAAATAAGGACAATTGAATATACTATTGTTTAATTTCAAGGGCAAAGTCATCAATTTAATAAAATATAAACTAATTTGACAAAAATAAATGTCAAACAAATATTTTTAATTTTTAAAAAATTATTTTTATCCACCAATGATAAAATTATATAAAATTGATAAAAATTTAAAAAAATTACATGATTAATTTTAAAAAATTAATTTTACATGATCATCATCCAAACACAATAAAAATTAATTTGGTAAAAAAAAATAAATGTCTAAAAAATTTATCAATTTTACATAATTTTATTTTTAGTGGGTAGAAATAATTTTTAAATATTCAAAAATATTTCTTTGACATTTATTTTTGTCAAATTAGTTTATATTTTATCAAATTGACGATTTTACCCTTGAAAAATCTAATGATATCTTCAATTGTCCTTATTTGGAACAAGATTCAAAAATTAGGATTAAATGTGTCACAATTGAATAGTCAGGGACTAAAGTGACACAAGTCCCAAACTATAGGGACTATAAGTGTAATTCACCCAAAACTTTAATTTAAAATCAACACTTGAACTGGCTCACCTATACTTTTCAAGCCATAAGTATGTAAACTACCGGTGAGGTCAGTGATCTTATTTTTAATGGCACCGATCTCACTTCCGACCCTGTGAATGTCTAGCCATTCGTTGAAGATGCAAGCGAATCTTTTAAGGGTGTTTCGGAAACCCTTTTTGTTCCTTTTGGATGAAACTTCGATGACAAAAGTTTCGAGGATGTCTTCGGTTTCATAAGCAAGTTTTCTGATTTCCGCAACCTAATTGTTGGCCCTCGCATCTACAAGATCAGTTTGTATTGAATAATCTACGTCTTGTAAGAAGCATTGCATTCGCTTCAACTCGACTCGGATTTGTTCAACCTGGTCGCTTACTCCATATAAGAATTTTGCTTCTTCAGTCAACAAAACTCCAAGTCTGTTGACAATGAAAGACACAACAGGCGCTTCCATTATGATTATGTGGTATTTCAATTGAATTCAAACCCAGTCCATCCCTCCCAAAAAAATCTGTGTATAAAGGGTAGGTGGGTGAGTAGCCTAGGCTAGGATGAAGATTGGAAATGAAGAGCTGTTGGGATGTGGTGTGAGTGAGTGGAGAGATTGGACTAAACTACTTGAGAAGGCTCATAAAATGATGGTTTAGTTGAGAGAGAGAGAGAGAGAGAGGTTTATATAAGTCACAGAGAGAAAGAAGCTCTGTGGAATCCACATCATATGCTATTGTGTGAGTGATTTTCTGATCACACTGCCCGTTTAGTAATCAGTTAGAGAGCACCGACAGAATAAATGGCTTCAGCTAACCTGCAACAGAAAGAGAAGGCTCCGGCGGTGGTTCTTCCACCCGGGGGCACTCCGACGATTAAGTCAGTATATCTCTCAAAGATAATCAAGTGCTAAATTCACTGCTCAAAGCATAAATTGCGTACCTTAGACCCACGGGGATGCCTCTCTTTTATAGTTAACTCAATCCGAGTCCCAATAGAAGCCTGACTTCTATGGACTCCCATTGTGTGCTTACTTTGGATTCCTCAAGAGATAAGGATAGACTCCTTAAGAGCTTTATCCTTATCTTGGCTAAGACTCTCTTCATTCTAGGACTCTTGTCCTTTTATCCACTTATCTTGGATTCCGATATCTTCGGAGATAACCTCGGCCTAACCGAGATCACCTCGGCATCACGACCAAGACACGTGGCACCTCGGCTGACACGTCGGCGTCACCTTGCCACGTGTTGGTACTCAGAAAATATATCCTCACAACTGCCCCCTAGGTTCTATTACCTTGACATTCTGAGGTGATGGAACCTATATCGGTACTTCCTGCCAGTACATCAACTCAAGAACTCCTCAACCAAGATCATTTATTTCAGGCCGACATTTCTTCTTTAGAGAAAAGACCCTAATGAACTCCTTCACACGTATGAGCTGTCACACATCATTATTCAACTGTTTCATTCACGCGTCTTTTCCTCATTGGCTCGTGCTTCTGACTCGCCTGCGAACCGCGTTATTCTTGCGCATGTGTGCGCCGTCTGCCAAAACCGTCTTTCCAGACTCATTAATTCCTCTTTGCCGCCGTTTCAGGTTTTTACAAAACTTTTTCCCTGTTCTCTTGTCTCTTCACTTTCATATTTGATTTCTCTTTGTTCTTTCTCTGTCTAAATTCTTTTCTCCTGAATTCGCCATTGTTCATTCTTCAAGTTCTGCAACTGCCTCCATTCCTTTATTCTAGTGAAGCTTTTGCCGTTCTGTTACTATTGTAACCGTCGCCTGACTTCGGCAATTTTCTTATCGGCTCCATTTTCTCTGGTAATCCGCTGTTCTTTTCGTTTTCAATTCTTTTGATACTCTCCATTACTTGTTGCCATTACTATTTTGCTCAAACATTCATCTTGCGAACCATATATCTGAATGTGTTTATTCCAAGATTTTGCCCTTGCCTGTGTCTTGAACACTTGCACTGTTTCTCCACTCTTTTGCCACTGTTCTTGACCCTATATTTCTTGTGTCTTTTCCAGATTCTGTGCCTTTAATCTTTGTGTTCATAGATTTTAAGTTTTGGGATTTGTTTGTAGAGCCCCCAATTCTTAGAAAGAACTGGAGCAGTCTTTTGCTCTTAGCACACGCCAAGGTCCCAATAACCCTCTTTTTAGAACATCTTCTTTCTGAAACTTAGCTTTCTTAAATTAGGCCGATGTCATGGGTATGTGGAGACATAGGGTAGACACCGCGAACAAACTTGAGTACTTTAGGCAAGAGTTCTCCATTCCTGCCGATGTCTATCAGAGGCTGGCTGGGGATGATGACTCCATTATGCCCACAGATGATTCGATGCCCTTTCCCGTTGTAGCTTTTACTGAGTGTGGACTTCGGCTTCCACTCAACATCATTTTTCGCGAGATTCTCCACTATTATAAGTTGAACCCTATGCAACTTGCCATAAATTCTTATCGAGTGATCAATGGTATCATAGCCTTAGCTAAACAGGAAAATGCTAGGATCACCCTAGCCGATATCCAATTCTGTTATACCATGTGTGGCCTTAACTTAAAAGAAAAAGGCTATATTTATTACCTTAAGCCGAGGTCCACCGAGTTCAAAATCATAGCCGACCTCCCAGACTCCAACAAGGGGGCTGGAGATGACTATTTCATCACTTCGAGGAATTGGGAGTTTGCTCCAGACGAGGATCTCCATCTCTACCCTCTTCCTCGATCAGTTTTAGAGGGCAAGGGTAAGAGCCCAACATTAATACTTGGTTGTTTCTTTTCAAGCCCTTAATGCTTTACCTATTTCTAATGTCTGTTTTCCTTGCAGCTGTTAGTAAACCACCAAAGGGCTTTCGTGAGTCTTTTGTCCCCAGCAAAGATTTTAAAAAACTCCTGGACTTGCCTTTGCACAAACGGAAGGCTCCTTTGCTTCTTAATTTCATCCCGACTTACAAATCAGCTTTGCCCGACGTCCCAAAGAAAAAAAAGAAAAGTTTGTCTCCACCTTCTGCCACAACTCCACAAACTGCGTCCATATCCTGAACGGATCAAGGGTCAACATCTGATCTAGCTAACCAACCATCAACCTCGGCCCCATACCTTATTCCGATATCTCAACGCCGTTGTCGACGCCGAACAACTTCTTCTGCCGAGATGGGTCGCCCAATACCGGTTGCAAAAGATCTCCTGGCCAGTCTTCTAACTGACGTTGCTGCTCAACCAATTCCAACCCAGCCTCGACCAAAGCCGAAGAGAGTGAAAAAGGTTTTGCCAAAGGCCAAAGTAACTCAGATTGAGTCTGAAGATACTTTGCCAATTTCTAAGTTGGCTGAGAGTGACAATTCTCAGCCTTCTGCTGGAAAGAGGCGATCTAAGTCTCAACCATCTGGATCCCCAAAGTCCAAGAAGCCGAGGTCATCTTCTGCGACCACCTCAGGGTCAAAGAAGAATGATGTCCCTTGGGCTCCAAAAATTACTCTGGAGGATAAGCCAGTATTCGCTTCCGATAGCGCCGAAGATATTAACGTCGGTGTAGCCCTCAGTACTGCTCTGCTCCTCCCCGGCGATCTTGAACGGAATGCCAAGATGAGCGAGTATGAGAACTACGCCCTGATGCTTCAACGTTCTGTCCAAGTAAGTGTCTTCTACTTGGTAATTTCTTCTTCCTTTCTTGTACTTGGAAAATTTTTGCAAATAACCTTCATCTTGTGTTCTTTCAGGCTGTTCAGCATGCCCATTCCTTTTCTATTCAATCTTTTGAGAATAGGGAAAAGTTGGCCGAGGCGAGGAGGGAGATCTCCAGTCTTAAAAAATCCAACAAAATTTTGCAGTCAAAGATGAAAACTCTGGAGGAGCAGGCCGAGGCTGCCATTAAGGCTCAGAATGATGCTGAAGAGAAGGCGGATTCTACTGAGGCCCTTCGGAAGGTGCTTGAGGCCGAGAAAAGAGAGGCCGAGGATAAAACATCCCAAGCACAAAAAGAGCTTCAAGAAGCTTTGGCCACCAAGGAGGCTAAAATCAAAGATGCCGATGAGAAGGCGTATGCACAGGGAATGGCCGATGTCACGGAGGCCTATGAGCAGCAAGTGAAGCAGGCATGCAACAGGGGTTTCTCCCTTGGTTGGATATCTCTTCTGAAGAAGCTCAATGTCCCCGAGGATTCGCCTTTGAGAAGTGCCGATGCTATCCCTCTTCCATTTCCGCCGCCACCTCCAGCTCCAGTTCAATCTAACAATGATTCTGAGTCTGAGGACGAGGAAGTGGATGAGGCTTTGGTAAAGAAATCAAAAGATGCTGCTGGGGCCAAATCCCTTCCTCAAAATGAGCAAGTCCTAGACTTAACTCAAGATGAGGAGGGTGATAAGGTTGCAAAGCAGGCTACCCCTGAGTAGGCTTCATCCGATGGTCCTCTAGCCGACTAAAGCATTGGTGAAACTCTTGCCCAGATTGATGCCGAGATTGCGGCAGAAAAGGCTGCCGAGGTGTCTACACAGCAGTCCACCCCGCTTTCAGAAGACGTGTGAAGAATCTTTCTTTGTGTCTTTTACATCTCTTTTCTGTACTTTTGTTTTTAATTAGGCCGTAGTGCCCTCTCTTGTGTAGAAATACATCTGCTTTCCCTGAATGCTTGAATCTTTATCTTCTCTTTATTGCTTGTGTATGATTCTATACTTAGAATATTCTTCATGTCTTTAATATACTCTTTGTGCAACCTTCTCGGGGTGATACACCTCGGTTATACAAACCGATAATTTAGTTCGGCAAGTACAAAATGGTATCAGCTTATCATAACCTTGGTTTTAACTTGTAATTTTTTCTTAATTTTCACCAAGTGTTTGAATGACGATATTGGTTTAACTTCAACTTGAAAATTGCTACAAATTTCAGCAAGTGAAGATAAACAATTATCTCGGTTTTAACTTCAACTTGTAAATTGCTACAAATTTCAACAAGTGAAGATAAACAATTATCTCGGTTTTAATTTCAACTTGTAAATTGCAACAAATTTTAACAAGTGAAGATAAACAATTATCTCGGTTTTAACTTCAACCTGTAAATTGCTACAAATTTCAACAAGTGAAGATAAACAATTATCTCGGTTTTAACTTCAACTTGTAAATTGCTACAAATTTCAACAAGTGAAGATAAACACTTATCTCGGTTTAACTTCAACTTGTAAATTGTTACAAATTTTAACAAGTGAAGATAAACAATTATCTCGGTTTTAACTTCAACTTGTAAATTGCTACAAATTTCAACAAGTGAAGATAAACAATTATCTCGGTTTAACTTTAACTTGTAAATTGCTACAAATTTCAACAAGTGAAGATAAACAATTATCTCGGCTTTAACTTCAACTTGTAAATTGGTACAAATTTCAACAAGTGAAGATAAATAATTATCTCGATTTTAACTTCAACTTGTAAATTGCTACAAATTTCAACAAGTGAAGATAAACAATTATCTCGGTTTAACTTCAACTTGTAAATTGCTACAAATTTCAACAAGTGAAGATAACAAATTATCGTGGTTTTAACTTCAACTTGTAAATTGCTACAAATTTCAACAAGTGAAGATAAACAATTATCTCGGTTTTAACTTCAACTTGTAAGTTGCTACAAATTTCAACAAGTGAAGATAAACAATTATCTCGGTTTTAACTTCAACTTGTAAATTGCTACAAATTTCAACAAGTGAAGATAAACAATTATCTCGGTTTTAACTTCAACTTGTAAATTGCTACAAATTTCAACAAGTGAAAAACATCTTTGCCTTCTCTTTGCCCTCAATGTGAACCTGAGTTCCACTTGGGTTCTCATTATTTAAAAACAACATTATGCATCTTTTATCAGTCACAAGTGTTGAAGAATTCTGTCAAGATTTTATTGATGACATCGGCAAAGAACAAGCAACATCTAATGATAGAAAAATTTCAAATTACAAGTGTTCCAAGGTCTAGGCAATGCTTTGCCCTCCTTATCTTCAAGACGATATGCCCCATTTCCTAATACCGAAGTAATTCTGGAGGGTCCTTCCCAGTTTGGGCCAAGCTTGCCCTCTTTGGGATCCTTCTTGTTGCCGACGACTTTTCTCAGGACTAGGTTGCCGACTTGAAAATCCCTTGGATTGACTTTCTTATTGTAAGCTCTGGCAAGCTGCTGCTGGTATGCTGTGAGCTGAATCGCAGCTTTCTCCCTTCTTTCTTCTAAGAGATCCAGATCTTGGGCTAAAAGTATATCATTAATCCCATTCTTTACTCCTTGGGTTCTGATCCCTGGGATACCGACCTCCAGTGGGATGATTGCTTCTGTGTCGTAAGCCATGGCAAAGGGGGTTTTCCCTGTTGATCTTCTCGGCGTAGTCCGATATGCGCAGAGTACATTGGGCAACTCGTCTATCCACTTTCCTTTTGCTGCCTGCAGCCTCTTTTTTATCCCATCCAAGATTACTTTGTTGGATGCTTTTGCTTGCCCATTGCTTTGAGGAAAGCTTGGTGTTGAAAAGTAATTCTTTATCTTGAATTTCGCACAGAAGTTCTTGATGAGTTTGCTATCAAACTGCGATCCGTTGTCGGCAACTATTGCCCTTGGAATCCCAAATCTGGTGATGATGTTTCTCCATATGAAGTTCTTGACATCCACATCTCGGATTTTGGCAAGAGGTTCTGCTTCTATCCACTTCGTGAAGTAATCTGTTGCTATCAGCAAGTACTTCCTTTGCTCAGTTGCTTGGGGCAATTGCCCAACGAGATCCATGCCCTATTGGGCAAATGGCCATGGACTGAATACAGGGTTTAGGTCAGCAGCTGGCTGGTGTATTAAAGGTGCAAACCTTTGGCATTGTTCACACTTCTTCACGTAGGTTTCTGCATCTTTTTGCATGTAAGGCCACCAATACCCCTGGGTAATAGCCCTGTGGGCTAGTGATCTGCCCCCAGCGTGGCTTCCACAAGTTCCTTCATGAATTTCATATAAAAAATCTTCAACCTGCAAAGGGTGTACGCACCTTAAAAGGGGTCCAATAAAGGACCTTCTGTAGAGATGTCCGTCCGCTGTCTGACTGAATCTTGCCGACTTCAATCTGACCTTGTGTGCCTCCTTATGGTCTTCTGGCAGCTTTTCTTCTTTCAGGAATGCAACAATTGCATCCATTCAGCTTGGTCCCATGTCCACACACATCGCTTCATGCTCTGTGGTTGGTGGCTCTATGCTCGGGTCCAACAAATAATCAATCATTATTGTCCTTGTTTTTCCAGCCTTTATTGAACTTGCTAGGTTGGCCAACGCATCGGCGTGGCTGTTATTATCTCGGCTAACCTGAAGAAGTCGACAGTTATGAAATAAGGCTGCCAGCCTGATGACCACCTTCGCGTATGCCGACATTCTTTCATCTCGGGCTGCAAACTCTCCTGTTGCCTGATTTACTATAAGTTGTGAGTCACAAAAAACTATTACCTCATCTGCTTCTGTTGCTACTGCCAGCTTTAGTCCTGCAATCAATGCTTCATATTCTGCCTTATTGTTTGAGGTCTTGAACCCCAATCGAATGGACTGTTCCAATATCTCTCCATCTGGAGATATTAATACTACTCCAGCCCCTGCTCCCTGTCGGTTTGAGCTCCCATCAACGAACAGTCGAAAGGAGTCGCCGATATAAATGCTGCAGGGTCTGAGTTTTTTTTCTTTCCTCTGTTCTGTTTGTATTTGGCTGTGCTTCTTTTTCCTTGCTTGTGCGTCGCTCACCTTGGCTCAACGGAGCCCGGTGTACGATGGACTCTAGCGTGAACTCTGCCACGAAGTCGGCCAAAACTTGGCCTTTGATTGCTGTTCTTGGCCTGAACTCCAGGTCATACTGACCCAAGGCCACTGCCCACCTAGCTATTCGTCTTGTTAAGTCTCCTTGTTGCAACAAGGATTTCAGTGGGTGTTCTGTTAGTACCACAATCTTGTAGGCCTGAAAGTAATGGTTAAACTTTTTTGAGGCCATTACTAAGGCCAGCATCAATTTTTCTAATGGTAAATACCTTGTTTCTGCATTGGCCAGGGTTTTGCTTACATAGTAGACAGCCTTTTGCTCCCCTTTTTCTTCTCGGATTACTACTGAACTTACTGCGTGTTCCGAAACCGCTAAGTACAAAAACAGCTCTTCCCCAGGTTCAGGTGTTGAGAGGACTGGAGCCGTGGTGAGATATTTCTTCTGGTCGGCCAAAGCGGCTTCACACTCTTCTGTCCATAAGAAGTCCGTGGTCTTCTTTACTAGGTTGAAGAAAGGTTTACACTTGTCTAAGCTTCGGCTTATGAACCTATTTGGGGCTGCGGCCCTTCCAGTAAGCATTTGTACCGTTTTGTCGATGTCGGGCTCTGTAACTCTAGGATGGCTTTGATCTGATCTGGGCTGGCCTCAATGCCCCTTCTGGTCACCAAGTACCCCAAGAACTTACCGGATCCAACTCCGAATGCGTATTTTGATGCGTTGAGTCGGAGTCGATATGTTTTGAGGATCTCAAAGACCTCTGACAGGTCGACAAGATGACCCTTAGGTTCCTTGGTCTTCATGACCATGTCATCGATGTAGACTTCTACTGTTTGGCCAATCAGGTGTTTGAACATCTTGGTTACCAACCTTTGGTAAGTTGCTCCTGCGTTTTTCAACCCAAAGGGCATTACTCTGTAGCAATACAGGCCTTTTGGGGTGATAAACGCTGTCTTCTCCTCATCTGGGGGGTACATGGCTATCTGGTGGTACCCCCTATAAGCATCCAGGAAGCTCATCCTTCCATGTCCAGATATGGCGTCCACAAGCTGGTCGATCTTGGGTAGAGGAAAGCTGTCTTTGGGAAAGGCTTTGTTCAGGTTTGGCCGACCTGTCAACGTTCAGTTTGTGGCATGTGACCTCGGGGTTAATGCCAGGCATTTCATAAGGTGTCCAAGCGAACACCTCAATATTTGTTCTTAAAAAAGCCTCCAACTCTCTTTCTTCTTCTTCGGCTAAGCCTAAGCTGAGAAGAAAGAAGTGTTCTTCATCCCCTTCCTGGACGAGTATTTTCTTCAATGCCTCTTCACTCTTCTCGGCTGGCTCCTTGCCGACATCATCTAGGACCTCCATGTCCTCGTCTTCAATCTCTGCTTTCTCTGGTTCTCGGATGCTGCAGGTGGGTTTCATTGCTGCCATGGAGCAATTCTTCGCCTGCAGTTGATCTCCTCTGACTTCTTCAATCCCATGTTCTGTTGGGAACCGCAATGGTTGATGCAATGTTGAGGGAACTGCCCCCACTGCATGCAACCATGGCTTTCCCAGGATGATGTTGTAAGGAGATGGTGTGTCGATGATGGTAAATTCTGTTGTGATCTTCCTAGTGCCAGCTTGCACCTCCAAGCTTACTGCTCCCAGTGGCCATGTTGGCATTCCATTGAACCCAACCATTGGGCCATTGGATTGTTCCATGTTGTCTGGATGAAGGCCGAGCTCCTTGTAACATCAGATATACATGATGTCACAAGAGCTTCCTTGATCAATCAAGATGCGTTTTACTTGGCACTCCCCAACCTGGAGGGATACTACCAAGGCATCATTATGTGGATGCTGGACCATCTCTAGGTCAGCTTCAGTGAAGGCTATTGTTGGTCCCTGGCACTCTTCAGGCCGAGGTGTTTTATGTTCGACCTGGTTCACGTGCTGCAGGTGTTTCACCTTCTGGGTCTCCTCCCGTATGTCGTTTTCATTTACCTTCGAGTGGACTACATTAACCACCCGAGGTATTTCTGTATGTGGTTGCTGTGCTGGGGAAGATGATGCTGCTGGTGTTTGAGGCAATCTTGCCTGTTCTTGATCGTGGTTATCTCCTTCGATATCAAGGTTGATAGGTCTGCCACTCCCAATAGGAGTGTCGTCCCCAATCTTTTCTTTCTGTCCGTTACTGGCCATCTATTCTTCTTTCTTTCCCACAGACGGCTCCAAATTGTGTGAGTGATTTTCTGATCGCACTGCCCATTTAGTAGTCAGCTAGAGAGCACCGGCAGAATAGATGGCTTCAGCTAACCTGCAACAGAAAGAGAAGGCTCCGGCGGTGGTTCTTCCACCCGGGGGAACTCCGACGATTAAGTCAGTATATCTCTCAAAGATAATCAAGTGCTAAATTCACTGCTCAAAGCATAAATTGCGTACCTTAGACCCACGGGGATGCCTCTCTTTTATAGTTAACTCAATCCCAGTCCCAATAGAAGCCTGACTTCTATGGACTCCCATTGTGTGCTTACTTTGGATTCCCCAAGAGATAAGGATAGACTCCCTAAGAGCTTTATCCTTATCTTGGCTAAGACTCTCTTCATTCTAGGACTCTTGTCCTTTTATCCACTTATCTCGGATTCCGATATCTTCAGAGATAACCTCGGCCTAACCGAGATCACCTCGGCATCACGACCAAGACACGTGGCACCTCGGCTGACACGTCGGCGTCACCCTGCCACGTGTTGGTACTCAGAAAATATATCCCCACAGTTATTTATTTTTTATAACATACATAATAAAATAAAATAAAAATGATGCATACTCGTTTGATTTAAATGATGATCATAAAATAAATTATTAAAAAGAATCAATAACGAGCTCGCAAGTCCAAACACGGCATGTTAAATTTTTTATTTTATAATTTGTTAAAATAACCACATATTAACAACCGTAGTCAATCTTAATAAAAGACTATAATAACCATATATGATAGGGTGATCAAAAAGTTGGGATAATGACAACGCGATTTACGGGTTATTGCATAAAATGATATGGCACCTAACCCAACGCATATAATATGTCACCTATAATCAATAAATTGAAATACTATTTTACTCAGTTGTTAACCCGTGTAATATATGAGAATTTATTTTTAAAAGAAAAAATTGATTTTGAATTTTAATATTTTATGTATAGAAAATTTTGACTATGATTCAAAAGTTGGGACAATGACAACGCGATTTATGCGTTATTGCGTAAAATAATATGGCACCTAACCCACTACAACACCTAATCAATAAATATTAAATTGAAATACTATTTTACCCAGTTATTAACCCGTACAATATATGGGAATTTATTTTTGAAAGAAAAAATTGATTTTGAGTTTTAATATTTTATTTTAAGAAAATTTTAATGATTAAAAGTCAAATACAAATAGATTTGTTAATAGTTAATGAAATTTTTTGTCACTGTGTGTGATCTTATGTAAAATACTCATAAAAATAATTTCTTTCAAAATTAAAAAGAAAGGTGTATTCTCAACCTGAAAACATCTTGAACCTCTCCTATTATACAAAGTTGGGGAGAGATATTTCACTAATTTTCTTTTATTTATTTATTTATACATATATGACATGCGGAATTTTCAATTTTAAATACAAAATGAATCGCACAACACTAAAGTCCAACAAATGTGTTGCTTGGAATCTCCACAACTATATTGAATTTTATTACTTGTGCTCCTGAGAAGAGTGTCTCTATTTGGTCCTGTAGTTTCACGGCAAAGGTAAAATAAAATGTATACTTTAATTTGCTTAATCACTCTAAAATATATTCTCCAACAAGACTTTAAAATATAGAGTTTGTTGGAACATTAAATTTATTTGCAAATACCTTTTGTTAGTTGAGTTCAAATAATCTTTTGTGTATGAGAAAAAAATGTGAAACAAATCAAACAAATAAAAATAAATTACTTACAGAATTTATTTATTGAAATAAATAAGTACAAAAATGATCAAGTCGAGTGTGTGACACTCTGTTCTTAAGACAGATTTGCCCCGCTCCGATGCTTACGGATAAATGGTGTCTATCTCTTAGGATACAATGATCTTACACAGATTGTAGTAGTACTCTAAACAATCTATACGGCGAACCAAAACCTGTGATCTACACTCTCAGAAATTTTTCCTAAAAAACTAGTATATGAAGAATAATGCAAAGAGAGCAAAATCGGGAAAAAAATTGATTTTTCTGGATGTTTAGACTGGTGGAAGAGTTCTTATATTTATAGGCTAAGTGGTGACTCTTTGGAAAGACCGAACATGTATGAATTCAAACTAAACAGATCTGATTTTGAATTGAACCTGTCGAAACAGTTTTGAATCTGTCTGGGAAAGAACTTGAACCTATTGCGTGTAAACTGTTAAAACAGTGGCACTGTTTGGACAGAAAATTGAATTCAAATTTGGCGCAAAATTTGAATTAATTTCGTTTAGAAATTCAAATATATTTTTTTAAAAAAATTAATATTAGGACCCAACCCACAACCCGTACCTGGTTGAGCAGTGGTGGTGCGCGCGGTGGTTTGAACCAAAGCTCACTTTATCTATAACTCCTCCTTTCTACAAACTTGGGGTGCCCCTTGGGACCTAATCCAAGTTTGTCCACCTAGAGATTATATACACACACAAGCTCTCTTAAAGTTTCAATACCCTTTAACTTCCCATTCCACAAACCCAAAAATGACGTCAAGTTCCCATTCACTTATAAATGGTTTTGACAAACTGTCTTCATCGTGTGACTTGCTATGCGGCAAGAAACATGTCACCTCTTTGGACCCATCCCAAAAGACGTGTGGGCCCCACTCAAATTTGGGCTCAAATATAAAATGCATATCTGTTTTTATTTTTTATTTTTATTGATTCAAATATAAAATGCTTATCAAATATAATATAAAAACCTATTGAAATATTGAATTTGTAATTCAGCTGGGTAAAATTCATACGAAATACAATACAAAAAGTCTTTTGGAGTGGTTTTAAGTATTTTTTCTTTCAATGAATAATTATTACCTATTTATAAAAAATAAAAAAATGCCTTAAATATATACTGAATCTTTTTAATATACAGACATAGATATAGATAAGGGCACTTCAATTTCTAAATAGAAGCAACAGTGAACCTACATTATACACCACTCAAAATTCACGAACAAGGGAAAGATATTATTAATCCACAATTGTTTTTCAAATTCTTGTTCCTAACGAAAAAAAAAAAGGGAAAAAAAGGGTGTGTTTGTTTGGATAGATTGGATAAGGGGGAATTGGAATCTACCAATGATAGATTTGATGGCCATTGGAGATGGTCTTACATTAAGCTTTTGTGGCATTTTATGATTGGCCTGGAGCACCACCTAGGATGGATGACGTGGGGTTTCGAGAATACTGAATAATTTCTCAAAAAAATGTTATTGAACCTCAACCTCCGATTACCTTTTAAGATTGAGAAATTGAATAGCCGAATTGTTTATTGCATATCATCAAGATCAATTGATGGTCTGCATAAAATCCACCAAAATTATGTTTTATTTTTTTATTATAAAGATTATGACCATATTTCATATTCCAACAAAACAAAGGTATAAAGATGTGACATGTGAGGGAAGGCAAACTTGAAGGCTAATGCGTTGTATTTCTCGAATTTGCCCAATAATAGCAGCAATAGAGGAGAGAGTTAATAGATTGAGAAAGGGGTTGATTTTAGTGGCTTTGATCTTGAAGATAAATAATTACAAAAAAGAGAAAGAGAAGATGCAAAATATGGGGGTTTCATTGAAGGACAAGGCTATGATCTTCACACACACACACACAGATTTCTCATTGGGTTAAACATAAAAATAGAGCCCAAAAAAAAAAAATAATAACAAAACAAAGAAACAAACAAACAAAATTTTTTAAATCATCACTCGTTCATTAAGAACCCATCATAAATCTAACTTTCTTTGAATTAGCTTTCCATTTGTATATGTGATGGTGTGATGGGTTCAATCAGAGGAGATTCTAAGCATAAATATGTGGTGGTGCTCGGTGGCCATGGGCTCTTCAGCGTCTGTTGATGACTATCGATATGGATAATGGGGGCCTTGTTGAAGGATCCAAATCATGAGGTTGCAGAGGGTGTGAGTAGATTTAGGCAAGGACAGTGAAAAAAAAACTAGAGCAAAGAGATGGAAGGTGGGAAGAGATACAATTGTTGCAAGCCATATTTTTGCTTATGTGACACCATATAAGTGGATGCCCGTAAAAACCACATTTTTGGAACGTCCCTGATTAATTTATTCCCCACTAAGAGTTCGTGTAGACTTATTTTGTCCAAAATTGTCAATTTCATGTGAGATAGTGTATAGTTTTTAGGAAAATTCCACTTACACCATTAAATCAAATCCTTTACCCTTTTTCTTTTCACATTTCACTTAATTTTAATTTGTTGTCATTACACTTTCAATAATACCAAACTTAACCTTGTCTTTACAAACCTAAACCCTAGCCCACACCCCAACCACTGCGGCTTCCAGCAGCCAACTGTAGACACCCCATTTTTGACCGTCCTCAAGACTTGGAGGTCACCGTTTGAACACTCAGTGATCATCCATGTTTGTGTTCGTCTTGAGTTCCCGGAGGTCTCGGCCACGCGCCTTGCCTCAGGATCTCTCGACTCGATTGTTTTGTGTTTGGTTTTGCACCAAACACTTGCGTTTTGCCTTTGAGGGGCAGGGAATGGCTTGTGGGCCATCCCCACACATCACCGGCCATGGCTTGAGGCCTCCGGCCAGTGTTTTGTTGCCATCGGCCATATCTTTGGCCGGTCGGCACTCTTGATGGTTGGTCGGCCATGTATTTGGCCAATTTGGCATTTTTGGCTGGCCGATCACTGTGCATCTGCTTTTGCAGATATTTTAATGCCAGCTGTGCTAGCTGGC